AGGTGACTTGAGTTAGGATCTGAAAGCTGAGAAGGAAATAACCACTCAAACGTCTGGGGCGGGTGAGGCGGGGGGAGCTTTGTAAACAGAAGGCACAAAAAATGCAAAGACCCTGAGACAGGAATGAGCATGTCATGGTCTAGGAACAGAAAGAAGCATTATAGTTAGGGCTTGGTGAAGAAGGGGAGTGAACAGAGAAATGGGACCGGAGACCTAGAGGGAGCCCAGTCACCCAGGCCTTGTAGGAGTTGGGTAAGCAGTGGGGACTTTATTCTAGTGGCAGTGACACTCCATTAAAGAATTTACTAGCAAGGGGCTGGCATGATGTGATTATAAAGACATCCCTTTGGCTGCTGAGTAGGAGATTGTGTATAGTGTACAAGAGCACAGACTGACTCCCACAGTCATCCAGACAAGAGATGATGGAGCTTCGGGTAGGATGTAGTAAGGTCACAAAGAAGAGTGAGGGACTCAACACATAACTTGGTAATAAAGCACACAGAAACTTTTTTTTTTTTAGCTTTTAGATTTATTGATTGATTGATGAAGATTTGAACAACATAAGTAAGCTCAATTCAGACATACATAGAGCTCTGTACCCAATAATGAGTGAACCCACATTGTTCCCAAGCATACATGAGGAATTTATACAAAATGACCATGGACGAGTTCACAAAATGAGTCTCCACAAATTTCAAAGACATATATCTTTAAAGATCTTTGAAGTCCTATAAATTTAAGTCTATGACTATTTCAGTCTTAATCTCAGAATAAGAAAAAAACCTTTAGTTAAAAAATTATAAACAAGAAAAATAGAAATTTCATTGACTCCTATTAACCAGCAGGCCAGCATTTGGTTACTTAATTAATATAATTAATTTCACCCTTAATGCTATTGTTAAAAGTATCTGGAAACTGATGCCAACCCACGCTCTTCTCCCTGATCCCACATCCTGGGTAGATCAAGCATTTTCACCCTTGGCTCATTTTCAGTGAAGACTATAATTAAATCTTTATTTGAAAACATGACTAAAAGTCCAGCACTCGCTGCATTATCGAGCCTACAGAAATTTGTGATGAATTTGATGAAGAGTGTTAGGTTAAGATAAGAATCTAGGATTACATGGGCAACTGGGTAGAAGGTAGTGCCATGAGATGAGAAAGACTTGAGGAAGGGTGAGCAGTCTTAGGAGGTAAAAATCAAAGATTCCGTGCGGACAAAGTTAGCCTGAGATGCCCATTGGAGATCCAAGTGAAGATGCTGGGTAGGTAACTGGACAAATGAAGGAGGAGACTGGAAACTTGTGGACTGGAGATATAAATATCTATTCATTGGATAGGATCACCTAGGAGACTGCATGGTTAGGTGAAGAAGAGAGCTAAGGACAGAATCCTAGGATAATCCAACATGCACAGTATTTATGGCATTGTCCACTCACTAAACATGTATGTGTTCTCCATGTTTCCCATTACATTTGCAGTTAAATAGGGCCATGTCAATAGCTCTGGACAATGCACAGAGGAAGCCTCTAAGAACTGGTCCAAGACCTTCAATTGTTCTCTCCTGCCCCAGGAATCATGAATCTATGTGTTTACATTGATATGTCTGTCAACCCTAATCCCTGAGTGGCTATGTGGAGCAAAGCCCTTTTGATACATGTCAGACAAGTTACACAAGAGAGAAACTTTTATGTGTTAAGCCATGGACAACTTCAGGGTTAATTTGTTACCTCAGCATAACTTGGCCCATCCTAACTAATTCAGAAGTCCATCATATGCTATACCACAACAGAGCACTATTTTTTATTTTTAAAAAAAGGGCATATGTGATGTGATAGGTTGTCAACAAAAGCCTATCGGTGGTTATTTCTAGCTTCTATCTAAACAAAGTTTAAACCAACTCCCTGTTCATTTTAGAAGCTGAAGAGCAATCCTGGAACTGTTGAGTGAATAATGCAAGATTATGTCCATTCTTTCAAAGATCCTCATTTCTCAACTGTGTTTTTTAATTCTTAAAGTTAATGAAAACACTCTTTTTATACATATTTCTTGCATAATTCTTTAATACTGGTGCTTTAAAATTTCTAAATTTCTCCTAAATTAGTACTCTCCCATTTTATCAGATAATTTTTTAGATGTTGGTTCATTTGAGAAATTGAGCGTAAGAAATATTCCTCATTCATGCATTAACAAATTTTAATTGAGTCCCTACTGTGTATTAAACATTTTGATAGGAGCCGGGGAAATAATGAAACAGAGCCAGTACTTACCTTCATAGTTATAGTTTTGATACCACCTAGAGCATACTTAACCTGGGGTCAAACTCAGTTTTGAGATCTTGAGAGATGGGAAATTAGTTAGCTTCTCTGTGCCTTAATTTTTTCAACTGTAAAATAAAAATAGGGGCGTCTGGGTGGTTCAGTTGGTTAAGCGGCCACCTTTGGCTCAGGTCATGATCCCAGGGTCTTGGGATGGAGCCCTTCATTGGGTTCCCTGCTCAGTGGAGAGTCTGCTTCTCCCTCTCCCTCTGCCCCTCCCCATTGCTCATGCTCTCTCTGTCTCAAATCAATAAATAAAATCTTAAAAAAATAAAATTAAATTAATAATTCATACCTTGCAGAGCTATTGTTGAGTGTTAAATGAGACAAAGTGAAAGTCTGTTTTTAGTTAAGCTTTAGAAATGTACTCAGACTACCTTAAAGAGAAAGAGGTTTTATTGTAAAAAAGAACCTACAAAATATCTGGTATTATGGCAGCTGGAGGGACTAGGGACCAGGTAGTCTCTGCATTACACACTTGTGTCTGTTTCTCTCTGTGTGTTTACTGATTTCTTCCATTACCTTGCTTGTTCTTACTCCCTACTCTGTAAATCTGTTCTCAAGCTTGTCTAATTGGTGGTTTCTGTTTCTTCATAGCTTCAGTCTGCATGCTCCTCATTGCTTGATCTTACGGTTGCTCTTGATGCTTTTTCTCTTTAGCCCTCACATATAACTACCTAATTAATTTCCCTTTTCTAGTTCAAACTTCCAGGAGAATCTGTTGGGCTGATTCATTCATTCAGGTATTCAGAAGATTTATATGAACTATTTACTATGTGTAGGCAGTGTACTCCCATGGTAATTTGGGTCTCCTTTTAGAATCCTCTGAATTATCCTTCCACTGTCATTCTGAAAGCTTGTTAGAGATGCTGAATTTGGTTCCCACTCCCGATCTACTAAATCAGAATCATTTTAACTAGATCCCCAAGTGATTTGTATGCCTGTTGAAGTTGGAGAAGCACTCCCTTAAGCTTCTAGTTCTCAAAGCTGACTGTACATTGGAAAGAGCTGGGGAGTAAAAAAAAAAAATTACTGATGTCTGGATCCCTCCGGCAGAGGTTCAGATTTAATTTCTCTGGGCTGTGGCCTGGCATTCAAAAGGTCCTAGATGGTTCCAATGGGTGGGTTTGAAAATCACTGAACCAGTCCTGTATCACCACAGACCAGCTGTGAGCCTAGAATAATTGCTCAATTTCTCTCTAGGCCAGATTCTTCGTCTCTTTTTTTTTTTTTTAGATTTTATTTATTTATTTGCTAGAGAGAGCATAGGCGAGAGAGAGTGAGCGAGAGTACAAGCAGGGGGAGCTGCAGGCAGAGGGAGAAGCAGGCTCCCTGCTGAGCAAGGAGCCCAATGCGGGACTCGATCCCAGGACCCTGGGATCATGACCTGAGCTGAAGGCAGCCGCTTAACCGACTGAGCCACCCAGGCGTCCCAAGATTCTTCGTCTCTTAAGTGAAGATACCCTGTCTACCTTGGACTTGTTCTGAGGGCCAAATGTGATCACACATGTGAAACTGTTTTTGAAATGTGTGCCTATAAATACCATGCATCACTTGACTTCTCTAACCCATCTTTGCATATATAATTGGGGGGAAATGCATTATCAAATAGGGGAATTTAAGTAAAAATGGATGGAAAACAATGTAAAGGTTAACATTATTAAGCTATATCATTGTAAATCTGGCACGAGTAAGCTTTACCTGTTATCCCATTTTACTTATCATGTAACACAGAGGTTAAGTAACTCTCTCAAGGCCCTGAAAGCTGTTAAAGAAACATTATTCGTCAGATGCTCCTTAAAAAATGACGGGGGGGGGGGAAGACTTTACTTAAGTCCACTGCAACTGGGGTTAAGACTATTGCAGTGTGGAGGAGAGACTGAATTCAACTCCAGATACAGCAGAGACCAATGGAGATTTACAGCCAGGGGGCGGAGTGAGGGAGGGAATGGAAACTAAGAGGAAGTTGGTTAGATATCAAGGGAGAGGGGGAAGAGGAACTTGGAGGACAGGGAGCTCCATTAAATACCAAGGGTGGAGGCAGAGGAGCTTGATTAGACACGAAGGGTGAGGGGATTCTCGATAAATTAGCTCCGCAGGGGTCTTCGGTGAAACCGGGCTCAGCAGGCCAAGGATGAGGCCTAGTCTAGAAACGCGCTCAAAACAAACCTGCCTAAAGTTTGCTGCAGGAGTGTGTCTGTCAAGGCGCGGGCAAGGACCGAAACTGGGTGGGTCTAAGTCCCCAGACCTTGCTGACCCTACATCCCCAGTGTTAGGGGTTAACAGTAAAACCTCATAGGACCCAATGTGTCTGGCGCTGTACACCCCTGAGGTAAGACCACTAGCTGCATTACAGCTTCAAATGAAATCAACCCCAAACCGTGAGCTGGTTCCCTTACCTACCCGGAATCTCCCCGATCCAAACTTGCCGAGGCAAGAATCACCTCCACTGCGGACTCCAGGGCCGGCCCCGCACGCACCTGCCGCGCGCCAATCACAGGCCTGCGCGCAGGGGCGCAAGCGCCACGGCCCTGGGCGGGGCCTCGACGCTCACCAGTCTCCTCCGACCTGCCGGCCTTCCGCCGCCCTGATTGGCCCTCCAGGGATGACGTAGACGGCCGCCTCGGCCTATGGCAGCGGAGCCGGCCGGCCGGCGGGGCTTGGCGGAAGTGGTGTGGGCGAGGTGTCCCGCAGTGCGGGCAAGCGGCGCGCAGGAGGGTGCTGGGCACGCGAGCTGGGGAGCTGGGGCAAGCACTTTCCCTCTCTCCGGGCGCCAGGAAGATGACGCGCTTCGCTCTGACCGTTGTCCGGCAGTGAGTATTGCAGGGTGCCCTTCTCGCCTTCTGCTCAGTGAGCTGTTCTGGAGTGGGTGAAGAGACCGTTGATCTGTATCTCCCCCCGCCCTCCCCCGCTTGCTGTCCCCTCGGAGGGCTGGCTTGGACCCGGCTGTTTCGAAGGTGTTTTCGCCAGGGCCGTCTCCCTTGGACCGCCCCCCCCCCCCCCCCCCCCCCCCCCCCCCCCCCCCCCCCCCGCCCCGTCCCCCAGCACCGCTGAGCGAGGAAGGCGGGTCCTAAGTATCCTGAGTCCCGCACTACAGATGAGCACACTGAGGTCTGGAGGAGTCAACGGTCGAGGTTCGCAGGCACTTGGCGGAGTTAAAACTGAAGAAAGACAACCTTGTCGCCGGACTTCCCTGTGCGCCGCTTTTCGCTCCCCAGCGGATTCTAAAGAATTTGCGGGATGGCTTGTCCAAGGCAGATATTTTTGTGCCGGCTGCCTTCTGCTGTTCTCCTTCGCTTGCCAGGGCAGCCGCAGGCACAGATCTGAGATTTATTTCTTCCTTCCGGGGATTACATTGCTGGCAGAGGAAGAGGGCCTCCGCCCTCGTCTCGGCCGACCGCATCACCCCGAACAAATATTTTTATCATAACATTACACGGTGGAGCTAAAGGCAGATATGTCTTTATGTCTGTTATCTTTTTCCTTCTGAACGCTTATTGGCCGAGTGTCAATGGAAGTGCAATTCAGGGTGGTTAAGAGCACAGATTTTTCAAGCAAGATAGACCTGGGTTAGAATCCGGGCTCTGGCTAGGAGGAGCCTTGTAACCAGGGCTTCCGTTAACCGACGTAATCTTTACGACCTCAGTTTCCTGATATATTAAATGGGGTAATGATAATACCTACCTCCCTGGGCTAGTGTGAGAATTAAATGAGGCAAAGGGAAAGTGTATAGCGCAACGGAGGGGAAGAAATATATCTCAAGAATTAGATAACTTCTAATTCTCTGAGGACATCTCTAATAAAAATGTAGTTAATCCTCAATATTTACGTATAGTTTTACCAGACCAGCATTTTGTGCACTGCGTGCCAGTGTACTGGGTTATACAGATAAATAAGATACCATTTTTGACTTTCCGGAGCTCAAAAGGAGTATTAATAGGACTTAACCTGGTCAAGCTGACTTTAACTGCTATCTTCTTTTTGTCCTCTTCTTCCTTCATAGGAGGATAATCTTGTGAATCATCAGAATTATCCCTTTAGGACTCACAGGATTTTGATGACTAAACCAGAAATCGAGTTTCTCTCTGTCTCTTCTTTCCCACCCCCCCCTCCCATTTTATAGAATGCTTTATGACTATTTTATGACCTACTTAAGGGCATATAGCTTACTGGTAGCAGAGAAGGAAATGGAGCCCTCATTTTTACAGTGTTACAACACTTTCTGGATGCCTTGACTCAGGCAGCACAGTGTCTGACATGTAATTGAAGTTGTAGGAAATCTGGATTAACCATCCCTTGAAAAGTAGGATGATGTCTATTTAGATTCTTATTGGACAATAGTTATATGAATTTGGATTTTGTCCCTTCCCTGCTTCTTAAAAAGGGCTTGATTTTAAAAATTGATTCCTTAAAGAAATCCTATGAAGAATCAATTTAGAAATAAGTCTTTATAAATTACTATGAGCCAGGCCCTGTTGTAATTAAGTTCTGACAACAGTCCAGTGAGGTGAGGACTGCTCTTCAGTTAGCAGGTGAGGGAATGGATGCAGAGGGCATGTAACTTGCTTGAAGTCACATGGCTAGATGGGGGGCTGAGATTTGAACCAAAGGAGTAAGACTCTGCAGCCCATCCTCTCAACCGCTGAGTCTTCTGCCTCCTATTTAATTGAGTTAAAACCTAGTGTTTTAGATTGCTGGAATATCACTTAGTGACTCCTTTTTATTTCTGCTAATATAATTGTAAAGAGTGATAAGAATAGTTTGCTTTGTTCTGTTTTATTTGTGGGAAAGTGAAGTTAAAGTGTTGAAATAATTGGTAGAGTTATGGTTAACTCTGTTTAGATCATCCCTCTTTCCCCTTCTGAGTTCTCCAAGCTAAGAATTGAAGATTCTTTCAGGAAAAGAAATGATTTCAAACTTGGTTAATAATAATCACCATAGTTAAATATGATGACTCATTGGAATACACAAGATTGGGTCATTTAGCATAATATTGGGAATAGCACCAGCCTTTTCTATTACCTGATTCTGTATAATTAAGATAGATGCTTTGAAACTGATGGCATGATCAGTATGTTTTAGGAGATGGATAATTTTATTGAATGATGCCTCTTCAGATAATATAAGAAAACTTTGAAATGCAATTTCTTTAAGTTCAACCAAATCCTTTATGAATCTTGCGCTGTTACTACATGTGTGTTTGTCTTCATCATATTTATGGGGTATGTATCGTTTTTGGAATACAATATCCAAGATTTCAAACTTGAAGTCTTTTAATATTATTAAACTGTAACTTCTTATGATCTTGTAGTACAGCATTGTTGAAAACCCCAATATACGTAGGTTGGCATTTCCATCACTTACACAATCCATTGAAAGGCCCCAGTTCCCTTGAAATTATTTGTGTGTTTGCAATTAGTTGCCTGCAAAGCCATCCCATTTCACTTCCATTTTTAGCTGGCTCTTAAAACTTAAAAAAATTTTTTTACAAACTAAATTAAGTTTACTTTTATTGACTCAAAGATGATAAATTAGTAAAGTTATTGATAGCAAAACTGGCTTGTTTTCCTTACGCTACCTCTTTTGGCAGTTACTTTTTGTTGAATGCCAGTCTGGTCATTAATAAAACAAGCACAGTAAATATTAGATCACCTATAAACTTTTATAAACATCTATGGGATTGTTATGTTACTGTGGTATTTGTTTTCTGAGAATACAGTTGATCAATTGGGAGACCGTTTACAACTACGACTAACTTCTTTATAAACAAAAACATATCATGAGTTGGGTGTGTTACATTTTTTTTCCCTCAGCCTATCTAGTGAAAGTCTCTGTGTTACTAGCCCTTGAAATCTTCCATGTTTTTGAATGAATGAATTGGTAGAGAAGAATTAGGATAAAGCTGTATTCATGATTAAATATCAGGTGAGGCTTTGCATTTCCATGTACACTAAAGCATACCTATTTTGAAAACATGCCCCCAACTGTACTAATTTCCTATGATTTATCTCCGTCGTGTGGCAAACAATACTTGTTGATTGAATTTAAATTATTTAAAGGATATGATTGGGAAATTAAGCCTTATAAATGACTTCTAAGGAAATGCCATAGAATGTAAACCAGAGCTAACAAAATAAAATATCTTTTGAAGTGAAGAACAGTGTAATAACCTACAAAATGAATGATGCATATTTGTAGGGCCTATAAATGGCTGGTCATAAGACTTCTTGGCATAAGCATTTGGATTCTTGCAGAGTCAGGTGTTCTGTTTTGGAAATGGATCACACCGGAGATTTTGAAAATGAGTAGTGTTATTCCTGACTCCTTCGAAATATTCCCTCTGACCTTTCAGCTTCCTCTACCTTCTCTGCCTCTATCACAAGCCAAACTTTCGTTAAGGGAAGTAGATTAATAGTAAAACTATTTTAGGGGTGCCTGGGTGGCTCAGTTGTTGAGCGTCTGCCTTCAGCTCAGGTCATGATCCCGGGGTCCTGGGATTGAGCCCCACATCGGCCTCCCTGCTCAGTGGGGAGCCTGCTTCTCCCTCTGCTGCTCCCCCTGCTTGTGTTCCCTCTCTCACTGTGTCTCTCTCTGTCAAATAAATAAATAAAATCTTTAAAAAAAAAATAGTAAAACTATTTTAGGCTCCTACTTTTCTTTCCCACTCCCAAAAAACCCTTTATACAGTTGCCGTAAGGATTTATGCAAACCTCTTGATAAAGCTGATAAAAGCTGTGAAAGTAAATATATATGAAAGTTTTGGGGAAAAAAATTCTATTTCTAGGTTTCCTGCTCTGTAATATTTGTAAAGTGATTTAAAGGCAAAAAATAAAAAATGCCCAGCAGAATGCCAGTGATTGTTAATAATACAGTAATTAATGTCGGCAGCAGTCTCTCTATTCACTTATAGCTAAATAAAATCCTTCATTATATCATTGCTATTTTTTTCCTCCCTTTGTCAAAAATAGTTAAATGGTGTGGCAGTACCGTTACAAAACTGTCAGAAAGTACTGAGATTCCATTTTTTTATAGTATGACATTTTGATAATAGAATCTTTTATATTATTCTGCATCTTATCAAATCAGCTACTGAGATTGAACTAAAATCATGAGCTGTCTTTTTAGCAAGCATACAAAAAATTATCATCTGCTGAATTTGTATGATTTGTAAAAACCTGGATTGGCAAATTATTAAATTTCTCCTCATCCTTGATCTTAAATTTATAAAATGAGCAGGAGAGCTTGTGATTGGCATAAAGTAGGCAAAAGCTTTTGAAGTTCCTTTATAAAAGTAAACATGGCAGAGGAAGGGTTCTTTGAATTTTGCTGGAAATTGAATTGGCTACCAAGCTATTGTCTAAAGAGGACATTACTTATATTTAACAGCAGTTCTTTTATTCTTGACCTCACTCAGCAAAATTATGAGGCTGAGACAGGAAGTGAATCCAATGTTTGGGAATCATTTTCTGTATTAGAAATGACAATTTCTTCATCATCGTCCTGGAAGCTTTCTCTGTCTGAATGGTAGAGATTCATATACTCTTTCACATCTGTTTTGTATGATTCTGAATAAATTTTGGAGTATAAGACATGTTTTATTAATATTAACCACAACAATGAGAATAATGGCAAACCGGTGGTAAATAGTTCTGAGACATTTCATTTATTTGTCATACATTTTTTTAAACGATTTTATTTATTTACGAGAGAGAGAGAGATAGCAAGAGAGAGCATGAGCAGGGGCGGGAGAGAGGGAGAAGGAGGCTCCCTGCTTCGCAGTGAGCCCTATGCGGGGCTCTATCCCAGGACCCGGAGATCATGACCTGAGCCCAAGGCAGACGTTTAACCGACTGAGCCACCCAGGCGCCCCGTCATACATTTTTTTTAAAGCTACATCCACATATTTAGAAATCAGAACAATTCTCCCTGGTCTTAACCTCTTCTCCTCTCACCCCTTAGATGATCATATTTATTAGTTTCTCATGTATCCTTCCAGTGTTTTCTTTGTTTTGTTTTGTGGCAGGTCCAAATGTTTATTCTTATTTACCACCTTTCTAAAAAAGTAACTTTTTTTTTTATTATGCTGCACCTTGCTTTTTCTCCTTAATATATTTCGGAGATTTTTCCATATCTTTACATAAATCACTCTCTTCTTAGGGGACACAGTTACATAGTATTCCATTATGTAGCCACACCACCATTTATTTGTTAATGTAACCAGTTCCCTAGTAATGGACGATTAGGTTATTTACCATCTTTTTGCTATTAGAAATAATATTGTTACAAGTATTATTTTAAATATGGATGAATGTAAACATTCCCAGTAATAGGGTTGCTGGATCAAAGGGCAAACAGATTTGTTATTTTGATAGGTATTTTCAGACGGCCATACACTGAGGTTCTGTTATTTCCCAGGATTTTCTCCAGGTAATGAGTATGTTAGGGCGAGGCAACCTCTGGCTGTGCCTTTAAGGAGCTGGAGCCAGGGTAGACACACAACTAAAAAAGTTAATTAGCATACCGGTGGTAACTTTTAATCGTGGTGCTGGGTAAAATGGAAGTATAGCATTGGGGTGTTTAAATGGGATAGGTAGGTGGGGAAATGTGCTGGGAAGGGAAGACTCCCACAGAGAGCTCGCTCTGTGTTGGGTCTTGAAGAATGAGAACCTATTGGCCTGGTCCAGCAGTCTATGTTTTAATAAGCCCTCCAGGGGATTCTGATACACGCTCAAGTTTGAGAACCACTGCTGTAGGCAGAGTTGGCAAACAACTATTTCTGTAAACAATGGACAAGGGTTCCAGGCAGAGGCCTGGGTTTGTGATTCTGACTCTCAGGTCTGATGGAGTTCCTTTCTGGATCTGTGTAAATCAGTCCCAGGTGAGGGCTTTTGTTTTGTTTTGTTTTTTAACTGGTGCTTTATTTAAAACAGAGCAAGGGTGATGAGACTTCACAGTAATCAGGGAAATACAAATTCAGATCAAACTGAGATAAACTGTTCTAGTGCCAAATTGGCACAAATGGGAAACTCTGACATTACTAAATGTTGGAGAGGATGTGAAATGCTGCTGGGGGATGTTTGCATACTCTGTGGCTCAGCAATTCTAGTGCTAGGCCTGTATCACTAGGTGTGGGTTAGCAAACTTAATTTAAGGGTAGGAAGTAGTTTAGGCTTTACAAGCCATGCACTCTGTCTGAACTGCTCAAGTCCACTATTATAGTGTGAAAGAAGCCATAAACAACATACAAACACATGTGTGACTGTATTCCAATATAACTGTTTACAAAAAGAGTAATTTGTCAGTCCTCGAGTGGTTTTCAAACATGAATGTGCATCAGAATCACCTGGTGGGTTTATTAAAACACAGATAACTGGACACCAGCCTCTGAGTTTCTGATTTAGGGGTCTGGGGTGGGGCCTGAGAATTTGCATTTCCAGAAGTCCTCAGGCAATGCCAGTGATCCTGATCCAGAGGCCACACTTTGAGGACCACTGCCCTAGAGAATTTGATGCACTCTGTACAAAGATAGTCACAGAGGCTTAGCTCTAAACTGGAAACAATGTAAATATCAACAGTAGACTATATAAATACATTGTGGTAAACTCTTAAGCATATTACACAATAATGAGAACGTAAGAAGTATGCCACCCTCAACAACATTGATGTATCTCACAAACAATGTTAAAGAACAGAAGCAACATAGAGGACTACATACTGTAAGAAGCAATTCATTATCAAGTTCAACAACAGGGGGACTAATCTGTGCTATACATGGGTGGGAAAGCTATGAAGAAAGGTGAAGCAAGTGGGCATCTAAATGTCCAGGTAGTGGATCCACTGGGGTTGGGAGGACATTGTGATCAGAAAGAGACAAGGTCTAGGAGGCTGGAGGTGATGATCTGTCAACTTGGGTGGGGTCACCTGAATGTTGGCTTTATGGTATGTTATTTGTTTATATTGTTTATTTCACAATTTTTACAAGATTTAAAATGCATTAAGTTGAATCTTTGATTTCTGTGTAGCTCTGTCCAAGAATGACCTATAAACAGAACTATTGAGTGCTTACTAAAAGCTGAGTAGTGTTTGTTTGTTTGTTTATTTTTAAAGCTGAGCAGTGTTTAAACACTTTACCTGTGATAAACAGTTTGCTTGGCCTGTATTCAGTTACCCCAAGAGTCCTGTTTAAAGATTTATTTATTTATTTTTAGAGAGAGACATAGAGTGCGCCCACAGGTGAGGAGGGCAGGGAGGGGCAGAGGGAGAGAGAGAATCTCAGACAACCCCTGAGTGCAAGCCCAGCATGGGCTCGATCCCACAAACCCCCCCGAGATCTGAGCCGAAGAAATTAAGAGCCTGACACTTAACTGACAGAGCCACCCAGGCGCCCCAAGAGTCCTGTTTAAATAGGGCTAATATTGTCCCCATTTTACAGACAAAGAACAGAGTCACTCAAGCCTAACCAAGCTCCTAAGGATACAGCCAAAGCAGTTTTGTTCCTCAGCCTGCTACATGGCAATGAAGTTTACTTTAAAGGATTTTCACCTCTCATTGACATAGAAATCTATAAATATGTGGGCATTTGATACCAAATGAGGAAACAACTTGATCTGAAGAAACCTATTTACTATTTTTACCTATCATTTCCAATTCTGTGTCCAGTGTCCATACAGAACAAGCCAACTCCTTTCTCCCAGTCCACTCCCGGTCCTTTGTGTCTCTGTTTCCAGTGCCTGGCACTGTACTTAGCACATAAAAAGGCCTCAAAGAATTTTCCACTCAGTTCTTGATAGCTTTTCATGTACTTGATTGCTTTTGTTGCAGGTATGTCCTGCTGTCTGGTCTGGTCCAGGTAGCACATCCCGCTTCACTCTCTTTCTCCTCCAGCCTCAATTGATGGTTATTTTGTGATAAAGTTTCCAGTCCTTTCCCTCTTCTGGTGGCTTCAAAATTGGTTCGGTTTGGTTTTTGACTTCTTCAAAACATAGTACCGAAACCTCAGTTTTTCAGTGTGGTCTGCAAGATAGTTGTCAGCATTACAAGAAGGAACAGCTTGAGCTCTAGGAGCTGGGAGAAGCCAGGGTGTCTGAAGGCTTGGGGCCTTCTTTCCCCCTGAATTCAGGTTCCCTTGCACTTGCTTATTCAGTCCAGCAACAGATGGACTCATGGTTTCCTCCTGCTGCTTGTAAAAAGAGTTTTAGTCAATGTCATTTATTTTCACAAGATTATTTAATAAAAATTATATATGTATTTTCATAGAATTTGCTACTTACAATTTACTTACGATTGATTCATGAGTTACACATTTTAATTTGGGGCAGGATGAAATTCTTAGCTCATCAACTAAATACATTAGAGTAGACGATTGCAAATAGCAGGTTAGAACAAGTTTTATGTTTACAGGTTAGATTATGAAGTATGCTACAGTGTTCATATGCTGCCTTTGTGACTATCATTACCTTTCATTGGTGATTTTTTTCTCATTTCAAAAATAACCTGGTTTGGTAATAAAGGTTTCTCCCCCCCCTCTCTATTTTAGTGGAGAAACAAGATTTAACAAGGAGAAAATAATTCAAGGTTAGTATACTTTATTTTAGCTGTCTCCTTTAGTGTTAATGTGATATGTGAGTTAATCAGATTTGGGGGGGGGAGGGTAGACCGGGGGCAGCTCGTATTGTGAACAGCATTAGAGAAACTGTCATAGCCATAGAAATATGATTAGAGCAGATGGTCACCAAGAGGAATAAGTCTCTTAAGTGAACTGAATGTAAAGAATAGGATTCTAAGTTGTTTATAGGTAGCTTCAAGTGGCCCAGTCAGCTGATTGAAGAGTTATATTGAGTCTAGTGATCTTAAAATATAACTGCTGTGATTTAAAATGATTTCCTATTTGGAAACATGAAGTTTGCTGACTGGTGTTAATGGTATTTTTCTGCTAAGATAGTTATATTGTTTTTAGTAGTAACAAGAGGTGTAAAAAGCGAATTCCTATTCTCACACAGGATTGTTACTTTATTCTAACAGATTCTTCCTCTGTTGTTCTGCTAATTTGGGTTCAGATCTTTTAATATCCCTATGATCCAGCAAGTCTAGCTTTTAAAGAATATCTTGGGTAATCTCTCAGCCAGACAGGCTATTTCTTTTTCTTTTTTTTTAAAGATTTTATTTATTTATTTGACAGAGACACAGCGAGAGAGGGAACACAATCAGGGGGAGTGGGAGAGAGAGAAGCAGGCTTCCCGCTGAGCAGGGAGCCCGATGTGGGGCTCGATCCCAGGACTCTGGGACCATGACCTGAGCCGAAGGCAGACGCTTAACGACTGAGCCACCCAGGCGCCCCAGACAGGCTATTTCTGGGCTGTGATTATAAAAACATTTAGTTTTATTTTTTTGGATAGGGACATCTAGAATTTGCAGAACCTGATTTTCATACCCAGAGTGCCTCACTCCGTCTTCTGAAAACTAGTCTGATAATTAAATGAACCTTTGTTTTCCAGTGACATGTGCCCAACCCAAATTAGCCTCTGTACTTCTGTCCCTTACCACCCTGTCCTTTAGTACTGCCCACCTGTCTCATTTCATTAGACACTAACAGCGGAGCAGGAATACAAATTTTTGTGGTCACACCTGGTTTTGACACACCAGGTGTGACACACCTGGTTTTGTGTTCTTTTCCTAACTTTGTCAGATGCTTATTAGTTCTTTAAGTTAAAGCATTCAAGGCTTATATATTTCCAAATACCATTTTTGTTGCATAACTACAGTTTTGATATGTAGTCATTTCATAGGTATTCAGCACCAGGTGTCTTAAATTTCCACTATGATTTCTTCAGTGAGCCATGAATTATTTAGAACTGTTTTGTAAATTTCCAGATGACTGGGCTTTTTGTTTTTGCTCGTTCTCTTTTATGATTGACTTCCAATTACATTTTGTATTCTGACAAGATGGCTTATTTGATGATACTCTGCGAAATCTGTTAACATGCTGTGTTTATAAATCTACCATTGTATGCTTGAGAAAAATCTGTGTTTTCTGATTGTTGGGTTTGGAGTTATATGTCAAATAATTAACCTCTGTTTTGTTGTTCAAATCTTCCATGCTTTGCTAATTTTGTAAATTTATTAATTTGCCTGCATGACTGAAATACCAATTTATGGGTGAGATGTAGAATTTCCCATTGTGATGGCCAACTTACAGTTTAGTACCTGACATTCTATCAATTTGTGCTTTGTGTGTTCTGCTCTTATGTAGTTAGAGACTATTTTATGAGGCACATACATATATAGGTTTAAAAATTGTTCTGCCTTCCTAGTGAATTGGATCGTTGATTATTTATAGTATCCTCACAATCCTAAGACTTTTGTCATAAAGTCTTGCATTTGTGAGTATAATATAGCTTCTCCAGCTGTTTGGGCTTGGAATTCGCCTGGTATGTTTTTCTCTTGCCTTCCTTTCAACCTTTCTGGGTGCTGATGTCTTAAGTGTTACCTTGTAAATACTACGTAGCTGATTTTGGTTCTCTTCCTCCCCTCCCCTCCTCCTTCTCCTACCCCTCCCCCCCTTCCCTGCTGGCTTTGGAATGATAAACTATTTCCATTCTTTCAATTGTTACCTTTAAATTTTTACCATTCATATCTAATGAAGTATAATATCACTATCTCCTTTCCCCCAAAATACAAGGAACTTATATGACTATTGCTTAGTATCTTAGTCCTATCCTTTTTTAACCACACGACATAGGCATTATTATTTGATTTGTTATTTAGACAATGTTTAGATTTACATATATATTTACCAGTTTCTCTCCTTCTCATTTCTTTTGCATCTCAGACCTTCATTCCTGAAGTATCTTCTTTGAAAGGTCCCCTACAGCAGATTGGTTGGTGGTAAAGATAGTTTTAATTGTTTCTATTCTAGACAATTCTATTTTTATTCTATTCAGCATTTTTTTAGCCTAGATAATTTAGACTGACAGTTCTCTTAGCACTTGTTATTGTGCTGTTTTTTTTGTTTTTTTTTTTTGCTTCCATTGCTCCTGTTAAGAAGAAGTCTTCTCTCAGACAAATCATGTTCCATGGTAGGCAATCAGTCTTTCTCTGCAACTGCTTTTAAAATCTTTTGTTTGATTTTGGTATTCTATAGGTTTCCCTTAATATATCTAGAAGGGATTTTTTTTTTTCTTTTTAATTTATCCTGCTTGGTGTTTTATCTGTAGATTTTCCATCATTTCTGGAAAATTCTCAGCCATTATCTCTTCATATTTTCTTTCGTCTTTCTGGAGTTCCAGTCAGATGTATGTTAGGGAATATCATTCTGTCCTTCATGTCTCTAATAGATGTGAGATGTGTTTCATCTCCTTTGTCTGTGCTGCATGTGGGGTAATACCTCAGCCCTGTCTATGAGTTCATTAAGCCTTTCTGTTACTGAATCTCCCTTTATCCACTGAAGGATTGTTTACCTCCTCAACAATTCATAATATTTTTCATTATTAAAAGATCTGTCTGGTTCTTTTAGAAAGCTGTCTGGTCGTTTTTGATGAGTTCTTGTTACTTGCTTATTTTTGTGATTCCGTCTTTATGTTTTATTCACAGTTTGTAGTCTGTATCTGCTGATTTCAATGTCTGAAGTATTAATGATTCTGAATCTCTTTTTTGTTGTTTCTGCTGACTTTCATTCACGATGAATTATTTTCTTGTATGTTAAGTTACTGACTGAACTATTATTTGCTCTAACTTAGTAGGAAACGTGTTAGCCTTTATTCAGTCAGATTTGCTCTGAAGCGAATTTGCATTTGATTTTACTATTGACCTGAGACTATACCAGCTTCCTTGTAGGGTCTCTGGCTTCCAGGAATGCTGAGTTCAGTCCTACTACCTTGCTGTGCCATGCAGCAGGCTCCCTCCCCCAGCTGCCCCCTTGCTTGTGCTGATATCCTGGCAACTCCATTTTTCTAATGTTAATATTCAGGTTTCAGCTCAGGGTATTTTGGTTGCTTTGCATTTCCTCTTAGAGACTTTCCTTAGATCCTGTGAGCAGCATGCACACACACACACACACATAACACACACACACACCCATTTAGTTCTTTCGCAATAGGAGGACGCTTCAGAGTGTTTAATCAGCCCTTCTCCTGGAAATGAAGGTTCCAAAGTTTTTTGTTTTTTTTTTTTAAGGAAAAGGAAGGAATGAAGGAGAAAGGGAACAAGGGTGAGGGGAAATAATACAATATTGAACATTTGGGCAGTGGAGGTAAAGAAGGAAAACTTTTTAGGTGAGGATCCTACCTTTCAAATGCAGCGCCTGGGTTGAGAATATAAGATCAGAGCCAGCATTAAGAAAATAACAGCTAACGAAGGGATGGGCAGACACAAGAGAGGGGAGAGCTGGAGAAAACTGAATTCTCATCATCATCTGATTCCCATTAGGCAGACATTCTTTTGGGAAACATTTGAATACCTGAGCCTTTATAGGATTATAGCTTAATTTTACTTGCTTTTTTGGTTCTCTGAAAAGTTATATAGAAAAGTACCCAAGGAAATCTTTTAATAAAATATAGATAAATTCTGTTTATATTTTCTTACATGTAATTTATTTGCATCTGTTATCTTTATATTTGAATGTTATCGTTCCTTCTCTGACTACCACAGGACAAGGAATAGATGAGCCTCTTTCAGAAACTGGATTTAAACAAGCAGCTGCCGCTGGCATGTTTCTTAATAATGTGAAGTTTACTCATGTTTTCTCCAGTGACCTCATGAGGACAAAGCAGGTAAGTTAAAGTCAAGGTTTAGACTGATGAGTAAAGAGTCTCAACAGTTATAACCTTGAAAACTGCTTCCTGAGTCTGTAGGAAATTCAGTCACATGCAGATGCCATACCCATTCCTCTCCTTCCCCCACCAACAGAACTTCTTTCTTTTCATTTTACTTTTGTACTTTATTTTATTTTGGTAATTTTTAAATTAAAGTAGTTTGGGGAAAGCGTCTAACAAAATATCTTTAAAAAGACAAAGAAGGTTTATGAGAGAGAGCCAGCAGAAACACCAGACAGGGGAATTTAACCCACAAAGACATCAAATATTGGAATCCAGACACAGTTAGAAAACAAAACAACTATGTTACTCTAAAGAAATAAAAGCCATGTTTGAAATATCTTTAGGGAACAGATTACTATAAAAATGACCCCAGAGAATTAAAAAGGAACCAAATAAATGTCTAAAGACTCCATGGAGGGAATAATTGACCATGAGGGAATAACAGGGTTGGAATACAGTCTCCCTGCATAAGCAACTAGAGAAACAGGACAAAATTTATGAAACAGCTGTTTGCAGACATTAGACTTCAGACGGTGTGGGCCTGTGATCCCCAAATGAAGTGAAACAAATGAGGTGAGCCCTTGAATTGTCCTGGTGTTCCACCTGACGTAATTTCCCGATGCTGGTAGGAGAAGCCAGATAGAGCCAGTGACTTCAGTGAATTGAGAAGACAATGCTTGGAATTTGGGGAGATTAAATAACTAAAGATTGTGGGGCAGAGTGCTGGAAGAGGGAGCTGCACAGAGAAAGAACTCTAGAAATATGGATAGGGATCCCCTGAAATTCTGGGTGGACTAGAGTCTGCATGTGCGTAGGTGAAATTGCATGAGGCCAGGTATAAAACATAACTGCTAGGGAGAGAACAGTTGCTGGGGAGCCAGAAGCCAGACAATGTCAAGAGCTCCCACAGGTTGGGAATAATTTGAGTTCCTACCACGCAGAGTGGAGAGATTTTGTTAAATACATCAAGCATACAGTGGAAACTTCAGAAAGGTCACACCTTAACAGCGAGGCTGATCTGTGCTCAGAGGAACATAATGAGGAAAGAAATAGAAGATATAAAAAGAACCAAATTCATCTTCTTGAGATCAAAAATACAATATTCTGAAATGAAAATTTCACAGGAGGGGATTACTAGCAGGTTAGACACTGTTAAAGAAGAGGTCAGTGAACATGAAGTCATAGAAACAGAACATCCCAAAATTAAGGAAGAAAGAAGACTAAAAATGGAAAAGTGGGGGTGTCTGGGTGGCTCAGTTGGTTAAGTGTCCGACTCATGATTTTAGTTCAGGTCATGATCTCATGGGTCGTGGGATCGAGCCCCACGTCAGGCTCCACGCTCAACTGGGAGTCTGCTTGAGATTCTCTCCCTTTGCCCCTTCTCCCACTCGTGTATGCTCATGCTCTCTCTCTCTCTCTTTCTCTCTCCTTCAAATAAATAAATAAATCTTTAAAGGAAAAATGAAGAGTCTCAATTGAGGGACCTGAAATAGACCCATACCTATATGGTTACAGTGTTTTTGTTGTTGTGGGTTTTTTTTTAATATTGGTTTGGGCTTTTTTTGTCAGTTGATCTTTTTTAGTTCTCTATTATTATTTTTAAAGGAGTCTGGCTAAAGGTTTATCAGTTTTATTGATCTTTTCAAAGAATGAGCTCTTTGTTTCATTGATCTGCTTTATTCTTTTTTTAGTTTCTACTTCATTTATTTCTGCTCTTTATTATAATCTCCTTCCTTTTGCTGGTTTTAGGTTTTGTTCTTTTTCAAGCTCCTTTAGGTGTAAGTTATGTTGTTTTTTGAGATTTTTCTTGCTTTTTGAGGTAGGTCTGTATTGCTGTAAACTTCTCTCTTAGAATAGCTTTTGCTGCATCCCAAAGAAAAATCTTGGAACCTTGTGTTTTCGTTTTAATTTGTCTCCATGTATTTTTTGGTTTCCTCTTTAATTTCTTGGTTGACTCATTCATCATTTAGTAGCATGTTATTTAAACATGGTAAAGAGCATGTATTTGTGATGTTTCCAGATTTTTTCTTGTGGTTAATGTCTAGTTTCATACTGTTGTGGTTAGAAAAGATACATGGTAGGACTTTGGTCTTTCTGAATTTATTGAGACTTGTTTTGTGCTCTAATATGTGATCTATTCTGGAGAGTGTTCCATGTACACTTGAAAAGGGTATGTAGTCTGTTGTTTTAGGATAAAATGTTGTGAATATATCTATCTGTTAAATCCATCTGGTCCAGTGTGTCATTCAAAGCCACTGTTTCCTTGTTGATTTTCTGTTTAGATGATCTGTCTGTTAACGTAAGGGAGATGTTAAAGTCCCCAACTATTATTGTATTCCTATCAATTCCTTCCTTTATGTTTGTTATTAACTCCTTTATGTATTTGGGTGCTCACATGTTGGGTGCATAAATATTTACAATAGTTATATCTTCTTGTTGGATTGTTCTGTTTACTATTATATAGTATTCTTGTGTCTTGTTACAGTCTTTGTTTCAAAGTCTATTTCGTCCAATATAAGTATTGCACTCCAGCCTTCTTTTGACATCCATTTGCATGATAAATGTTCCTCCATCCACTCACTTTCAATCTGCATATGTCTTTATGCCTGAAATGAGCCTCTTGTGGGCAGCTCATAGATGGGTTTTGTTTTTTTATCCATTCTGTCATCTTATTTCTTTTGATTGGAGCATTTAGTCTATTTACATTCAAAGTCATTATTGATAGGTAATTATTGAATTTACCTTGATGAAGTCCCAGTAGTTCATTTTGTGTGTTCTTCATTTCTGATTGGTTCTTTTTTATCTCTGTGTTAAGGGTCTCACTGATGTCCTCCACTTTTTTTTCAACTCCAGTGAGTATCTATATGAGTGTTACTTTACATTCTCTATCAGGCATATTACTTATCTCCATTTCACTTAGGTCTCTTGCTGTGATTTTGTCCTGTTCTTTCATTTGGGGCATATCCCTGTCTCCTCATTTTGTGTAACTCGCTGTGTCTGTTTCTGTGTGTCAGGAAAGTCAGCTACATCTCCTGCTGTTGCAAGTCGTGGCCTGTGAAGACGTCCTGTCGTGCCCTGCAGCGCAGTGTCCCCTCTTCACCAGCACCGGACTCTTCAGGGGTGTCTCCTCTGTGCTGTGTGCACCCTGCTGTCGAGGCTAAGCCGCTTTTGCTTTCAGTCCAGTCATCTGCAATGGCTCTCTTTGCCTGTGGTGGGCAGGGTTTGGCCCTGTGTTGTTAGTGGGCCAGTCTGGTGGGGCTGCCTTGGGCTTGCGTTGAGTCAGACCAGGCATTTGCCAGAGCTGTGGTAGCACCAGACTGCAGGGTGCTTTCCCTGTGTTGTGCTCCAAGAAGCTTTCATTGGTGGGCAGGGCCTGCCATCAGACCAGCTGTCTGCCTTCAGCCCACTGCTGGGGCCACAGTGTGACTCGGGTGTGTGCTTATCTTTCCCTCTTCCCAGGGCAGGAGTCACTTTGGAGTGGTGCTGGCCACTGTCGGGGCTACTTACGCACTGCCAGGCCTGTGGCACCACCCTGCTTGGGCGGGGCCAACATTGTATTGAAGGCGGTGGATCCACAAGGTGCTGGAGGGTGGGGTGGCAGTGTTAGCAAGTTAGGTAGTGAATGTCTGCCTTGCTGGGTCCTCCAGGGGCCATGTGTGTACGCATTGGGGCTGGGGAGGGAGATGGTGCGTGTCAGCTCCTTTGTTCCTGGAGGAGTCTCCTTGGGACTGCTGCCCCTCTGGACTTGCTCTGAGATTAGTAAATAACTCTCCCTCCTGTATTTCCCAGGCGTTTTTCAAACTGCTGCTTCTGTATTCAACTTGTTGGGCAGATTGTTGTGCTCTCTCTTTTTTTTAAATATTATTTTATTATGTTATGTTAGTCGCCATACAATACATCATTAGTATTTTGGGTTTTTTTTAAGATTTCATTTGACAGAGAGAGAGACAGCGAGAGAGCACAAGCAGGGGGAGTGGGAGAGGGAGAAGTAGGCCTCCCACAGAGCAGGGAGCCTGATGCGGGGCTGGATCCCAGGACCCAGGGATCATGACCTGAGCAGAAGGCAGATGCTTAACGACTGAGCCACCCAGGCGCCCCCATCATTAGTTTCTGACATGGTGATCCACGATTCATTGTTTTCATATAACACCCAGTGCTCCATGCAGTACGTGCCCTCCTTAATACCCATCACTGGGCTAACACATCCCCCCACTCCCCTCCCCTCTAAAACCCTCAGATTGTTTCTCAGAGTCCATAGTCCTCATGGTTCATCTCCCCGTCTGATTTCCCCCCCTTCATTTTTCCCTTCCTTTTAATGTCCTCCATGCTCTTCCTTATGTTCCACAAATAAGTGAAACCATATGATAATTGACTTTCTCTGCTTGACTTATTTTATTTAGCATAATCTCCTCCAGTCCCATCCATGTTGATGTAAAAGTTGGGTATTCATCTTTTCTGATGGCTCAGTAATATTCCATTGTATATATAGACCACATCTTCTTTATCCATTCATC